TCGCTCTTGGGATCCTTGGCGTTAAGAACTTCTTCACGTCACCGTTCACTCTTGGGAGCCTTGGTGCTAAGAGGTTGTTTAACGTTTTTACGTCTCCGTTCGCTCTTGAGAGCCTTAGCGTCAAGAGCTGCTTACGTCACCGACTCGCTCAGAAAGGGCTTTCCCGTCCCCTGGAGCTCTCGGGACATACCCAGGAGAACCCATAATCGAATCGATGATTCGGATCGGCGATCGAAATGAATCGGATCAGCAGAAATCGGCAGCCAAGTCGGAAATCGGCAGTCTAGTAGGCCTCCGTTGAGGAATCGGCATCCACATCGGAATCCGAAGTCGAATCGAATCGGAATCGGAAGCCATCGAAGTCGAAGTCGAATCGAAGGAATCGAAATGAGCCCTGCATACTTCGCCCGAGAAGACAGCGGTGGAGGACAGGCCCATCAGGCGCTCGTCCTTCAATGTGGCGCTCCCCATAGCTTGCAGCATCGGCGATGCACCAAGGGCTCACCGTGGCCCGCACCCTCGTGGCTATCCTCTCGTCATCTCGCCCCCTCGTCCTTCGCCTCCTCCAGAGGCCTTCCGGATGGGATCGGAGCAGATTGAGTCGGAGGATCGCGCCGCGTCGTCGATGCATCATTGATCCTCCGAGCCCACCTGCTCCGCCCCAATCTGGGAGGCCTGGACCCCGTTGTTCTATTCAGGGGCGCGCAAACATGGATTAGCGATCCATGGATTTGGCGCGCGGTTGCCAAATCCAAAATGCGGCCGGTGCCGCCTCTTTCGGCGGCGGAAAGCTGCGGTTTCCCATGGAAACGGGTCCCGTCGCTAATCCGCGCCCCCTCGATCCATGTTTGCGATCGCCTGTTCTACGATTCGCGACAAAGCCCGTGACTGCCCCCCCCATCCCCCCCCCGAGCCACTTCGCGATTCGCGCCAGCGCCGTGGGAATTAGCCGTCCCCAGGCATTCCCAGACAGCGCCGGCGCGAATCGTGACGTGACCGGCCCCCCCCCCTCCCCCCTCTCCCCCCAGGTCGCGCCCGTTATCGCCAGGCAGGGGATGAAAGAGCGGTCCCACACTGCCCTCGATAAAACTAGCATGAACATTTGTGTTGGGCAGTTTCTTGTCGATGTGATGTTCTGTGCTTTGGTGCCAAGCACTTGTTGCTGCCCCCCCTCCAACGTCGGCCATCGTGGAACTGAATCACACCGGCTCGGACTGCGTTTCGCCCTGCTTCGACATCGAAGGGGGGCGACATTGAAGGGGTGAACGGGGGCGACATTGAAGGGGGGCGTCGACCTTTTTTGGGCAGGTCAGGTCAGTAAGCCTTGCACCAGACGGTGCGTGAGCAGGGGTGAGACCGAAAAAGGCGGCCCGGCGGTCGCACTAAAGTTATTCAAAGGAGAAGGAGAAGGAGGAGGAGGAGGAGGAGGAGGACCATTTTTGAGGTTGATTTAGTCGAGGGCCGACCGTGGAGACACTGCACGGGTTCCCAGGAGCCCCATGAGCATCCCTCCAAAAGCCCCCTCCTCTCCATCCTCGCCCTCCTTCCTTCCCCCACCTTCTCCTCCTCCTCCTCCTCCTCCTCCTCCTCCTCCTCCCCGCCCCCATGATCCTCCTCCGTATTCCTTTTCTTTCCCCTCTCCTTCTCCATCCCCTCCTCTTCCAGATCCTGACCCTCCTCTTCCAGATCCCGACGACGACGACGACGACGACGACGACGACGACGACGACGACGACCACGACGACCACGACTACGACGACGACCACGACGACGACGACGACGACGACGACGACGACGACGACGACGACGACGACGACGACGACGACGACGACGACGACGACGACGACGACGACGACGACGGCGCGCGGCGGCGGCGGCGCGGCGGCGGCGGCGGCGGCGGCGGCGGCGGCGGCGGCGGCGGCGGCGGCGGCGGCGGCGGCGGCGGCGGCGGCGAGGGGGGGGGGCATCCCGAGGCTGGGAAGCATGAGGGAAGCAGCGAGAGCGCCCGCAGACCTCCGCCCTCGAGAGAAGGGCGCGCGCCCTCCTCGACCACCGAGGCCCGAGGGCCTGGGCGCGAGGAAGAGGCCCGAAGGGAGCGTCGATCCTGCCTCCTCGGTGGCTCAGAGATGGGGTCCTGAGGGGGGGGGTCCTAGATCGAAGAGGGATCCAAGGGTGGAGGCCTGAGGGCCTTGGCGCGAGGAAGAGGCCTGAAGGAGACGTAGATCCTCCCTCCTCGGTGGCTCGACGACGGGGCCCTGAGGCCAGGGGGTCCCGAGGACAGAAGCGGGATCCGAGCGTGGACTTGCACTCTGCTCGAGGCACCTCGTCCTCGGGACCCCATCCCTCGAGACCCCGCCTCTGAACCACCCGCCTCCCCGAGCCATCGCGGGCGTTGTGGGGCCCGCCGGCGACCTGCTGGCCTCTGCGAGGTGGCGGCGCAGCGCGGGCTCCGCGGCCGCCAGCAGGCGGTCCAGCCGCGCCAGCGCGGCCCGCGGGGGGCCTCTCGGGAGCGCCCGGCGCCGCCCAGGATCGGAGGAGGTCCCCAAGAGCGTGGAGCAGCGATGGAGGGGGGGTGGGCATACGGGGGGGGGGGGGAACATCGACCTGGCCTCGGCGATACATCGCCGACGGATCGGCGATAGGCCCCCGACAGTGACTCCGCACGTTCCTCCTCCTCCTCCTCCTCCTCCTCCTCCTCCTCCTCCTCCTCCTCCCAGCACGTTTCAGCTTCGCCCCTCCCTGGCGGGGGGAGGAAAACGTGACGGAACGCATACACCAAAGGCCTTCGTGGGGTCCACTCTGGGCCGAGACCCCAGGACCCCAGTGTGCAGCGGCTCTCCGGCCGGGCCGGCGGCCAGGGAGCTGTGCGCACCAAGATCTGGATCAAAATGGGCCTGCAGATGCCTGGTGGTGTAAGGTACGGGCCGCTCGGAAGGTGGCCGAAACATTAAGCAGGAAAGCATTTCGTAGGTTGGTAGCGGGGGAGGCGCAAGGGGTGGCGGCGCCCACAATTTTTTGATGCGCGCCATTGACGACGATCACGGCCATGACGACTACGACGACGACGACGACGACGACGACGACGACGACGACGCAGTGTAGCGGTCAGCACCACGCTCTCCCTGCGCGCGCCACAGCGTTCCTGTGAGCACCGCGATGGCGCGCGAGCAGCACAGCATGCAGGCCCCTTGGTTGTCGTCGACAGTGCTCCCTCTGGACGTAGAAACCCGCCCCCGCTGCTTGGGGTGGGCGGGGGCCGCGCCAAAGAGCACCGCATGACGCCGCGCGAAAGGCTGGGGCGGCAGCGCGGCCGAGCGCAGGCTCTCCACGCGGCTGCTGCACCTCGAGCACATGAGCCGGTTGGCTGCCAGGAGCCCGTCGTTCACGATTTGGCTCGGCGAACCCTCCTGGTGGGGCTGCTCCCTCGCTCGCACGAGGTTCTGCCAATCACCGTCGCGGCTTGTGTCGCACCCGCTGGTTGGGCAGGCAGGGGCCATTGGCGCGGGTGCCAAGGTGAACGACGGCGGGCCGCGCTCGAGGGGCCAGTGGCCAGAGTGAAGACACACATCGTGACCCTTCTTAGTCAGACCTCCTTCGTGCGGATCGGCACGTGAGGGGCATCGAAGACTGGCGCATCTTCACTGATTCGTGTAGTCTTTGTTGTGCACTCTCTCAGGAGGGGCCGCGTCCGCTGGTGCTTTTTGGAGCTGTTGACCTCGCTGTAGTCGCAGGGGGGCGTCCGCAGTGGCACTGGCGCCTGCAGTCTCTGGCGGGGGGCCGCGGGTGAGGGTTCGTCTCGGGCAGGCGGTCGGCTCGGGCCCCGGGTGGCTCGCGCGCATGGCTGTGTCCATATAGGTCTCCTAGATGGGGTCCGAGGAGATGGGGTCCGAGGATCGCGCCGCATCGCCGATACATCGACGACGCATCGTCGATGCATCGGCGATGTATCGGCGACACCGGCGATGCATCGGCGCCATCGGCGTGGAGGAAACCGTGCTCTACATCGATTCGCAACGGCGATGCATCGGCGATGCGGCGCGATCCTCCGACCCCATCTGCTCGGACCCCATCTGTTGGCGGCGCGCACAGGTGTGGAGGGGGAGGGGGAAGGCTTCTTCGAACGAGGCTGCTTCTAAGGAGCCTTCACCCCTCCCCGTGCCCCCGTCCCTGCGCGCGGCCGATAGATGTGTCCGATGGCCCAGCAGGCACCACAAGGCACCTGGGGCGAGCGGCGGGGTTTTGTGTACTTCAGGAACAACCGATCGCAGGTTAGAACCTGGATATACGTCAAGATACCAAGATAATCGTAACTGCAACTTTCCAAGACATCAGTATATCTCGAAGATCAGGATGTGGAAATACAAGCACAGCAACATAATCCCAGCAAACATAGTAACAAGATCAGATCAAGATCCGTTCGACATTTGCATTCATGGCACAACTCTTTAGCAGGAAAAATATCTCACGGTAAGAGTCGGCCCCTGGCGTATGATCTCTCAGGTCGTCGCATACCTTTGGCGGTCGCCACATAGTACATCCCCATTCGGACTTGCATCACCATCAGTTCTGACCTGCGTTCTGCCACTCGATGTGCACCGTACGTAATCCACCCCGAACTTGACGTAACTCTCGGTTGAGAAGTCCACCAGCTCAAGGGTACGGTGTAGAACTCAGACAACTGCGTCCTGAAATCCGCGAAGGCGGCACACTCCGTCACGCAGTGACGCACAGACGGCCAGAAGGCCTCACCACAGCACGGGCAATACGGATCACAAGTAAAATCATGATTTCCTCCTCGCGTATGAGAGCTGGCCGCACCACACATGTATATCATCACTTTTTGCCACTCGCAAGGTGCGAGTGAGTCCCGAAACTTCTTCCACGCTTTGCCCGAGAGGGCCTCCACATCAACATCCTCCATACCAGGGAAATCTCGTCGTGCTGCCGTCGCCTTTGTCAAAGCTTTGAGCCGACATATGGCACGTAGAACATGAAATGCTCGCTCTCCTTCAGAGGTCCAAAACCCACGACGGTTCTGGAAGATACGCTTCACTCTCGGATCATCCTCCTCCTCCGTCATCTGAAATCTGATCCCCCTCTCGGCATCGTACTGCACGTACTCCAAGCCTACGGCCTCGAAGAAGTTCTGCAGGTTATGCTCGACCCAGGGATTGAAATCGATCTCCCAATCAGTAAGACGACGAGCCGCCGTCAAGACATTCGAAAAAACAGGATGGCACTGAATATGCAGGGCCCAGAAACGCCCTCGGCACCACCATACACACCTCGTACGTAACACTGAACTCATAAGCTTCGCCGCCACATCAGCAGGTGGCAGCATGAACGCAGGACAGCACCAGAGCCATCTCGGTACAACATATGCACCTGCAGCACGTAGTCGGGTCCTCGAGCTTCCTGGGAGCTGTCGCAAAGCGGCGATAGCTGCATAAACCTTCCTCCAACCTCCCGCTGGGGTGACGGGGGCCGTGGGATCATCTGGCACCGCTTCGACTCCAATATGCTCGATACGGCGAAACTCTCCACGATGCCACTCTTGTCGCTTACCTTTATTCTCCACGGCCCCCGTCTCCAGGTCGAAGCGGTCAGTCGTGTCGATGTCGTTGCGTAACTGTTGATCCGATGCACACACCAGCGAACGATCGTCCATGAACAAAAACTGCTCACCCTCGACCTCCCACGGGGCTAGAACGGAGCAGAGTACTTTGGGCGCACAGGAGTCTCCCTGCGCCAGCCCTCGCGAGGGCCATACTTCTTCCTTGGCCAGAGCGCCGGCCACTTGGCATCTCCTCGGCCCCGTCCACGCAGCAAAAGACACCGCCACCAGATCTGACGGTACACCAGCGGCATGAAGCGAAGCAATCCCCACTTCGTGGGGCACCTGGTCGTAACACTTGCTGAGGTCACGCTCCATGCCCGCCTGGGCAGTGATGCACGCCTTCAACCAACTGCACACAGCTTGGCACACTGATGACTCCGTCTTGCAGGCGTACTGGGCAGCCTGCGGGGACGGGAAAGCTTCTTCACATGCTGTCAACCAGCTTCTCAATAGTACACTCGCCACCCCAATCGGTCGGGATGCTCCGCACTTCTTCGGAATACCCACAACTCTCCAAGAAAAAGATAGCCTCTGCAAGTTCACCACATCCTCGGGCCTCTCCTCCACGGGGACGGTCTTGAACAAGCCCTTGGCGCCCAGGAACTTCGTCGTGTCCAGCCAGAGGTCGTACAAATCCTGCACTAGGAACTCGAACGTCACGGCCATCATCTTCAGCTCTCGTGCTGTCCAGCCGTCATAGCCGGCGCTTCCTTTCCCTCGAGCGATGGCTCGCAGGAGCTGCTCCCAACTCGGACACCAGCCCACCTGGGCCTTGCTCCGAGGGAGGGGGCGACGCATCCGCCGAGCATGCCCCACCCACGATGTCGAACATGCCTCGCCGTTGAAGTCCTCGGGGCGCCAGATCTTCCGCCACTCCTCGGACATGTCGTCAGCTGTGAAGGCGGGGCACTCCGTCGGGTCGTGCATGACCGAACTCGCTGCCCTCCACCACTCAGGATCGATAACTTCTTTGGCAAAAATCTGCTTCCAAGAAGAACTGTCCTCCGCCCTCAGGCGTCGCTCCATCTTTGCAATCGCCTCGGATACTCGGTCATGTGCACGGCCCAAGCTCGGTAGGCCAGCACATCCATTATCAATAACATGCCGCAGGCACAACTCAATGAAAACGTCGAGCTGGTGGCCCTCCAACTTCATGTTCGGTGGGTTCCTTCTCAACTGCTCAGCAACGCTACGGCCCAACTTCTTCAGTCTTGACAAGATGATGGGCTCGTTCGGCCTGCGCTTCGGCGTCGATGCAACAGGCCTTTCTTCTGGGATCGATCCTTTGGGTCTCTCGGCACTCCCACTACGTATGAGTATGCCCGACTCGACCCCCAGCTCCATCACACGGTTGGCCCGTGCATGCCAGCGTGCCCATCTCTGCGTCATCGTGTGCGTCCTCCCCAGCATAGGTAAGGTCTGGTCCACGTCTGACCGCAGTGCTTCAACATCCTGAGGTAACACCAGAGTACTCTGATCCAGCTCAAAAATCGATGTCCGCTTCAGTCTCGTCGTAGGTCCCGCCATCGCACTCCAGGATGTCGTACACAGGACCAGGCCATGGTACGGGATACCTTGCACAAAAACCGTAGAAGTATGCTGAACGGCAGCACCCGAGGCACAGACTCTGGTCGGAAACGTCCCTGCCAGCGTTGTCGGTGCCGTCATCTGGCATACAGTCGCATGAATCGGTACACACTGTTGGTAAGATTGCCTCCAGTTCAAATCTCCAAGAATGATCCAGGGCTTTCCTGCAGCGATAACTTTAGTCCAGTCGAAAACTTCGTCCATCCATTCAGTACTTGGGACCGAGGCAGGTCCATATGCGGATACAATCGTACCAAAAGCTCCACGTACGCCCATGTACCTGTGGCTCTCCGATC